CAGACAGACAGACAGACAGACAGACAGACAGACAGACAGACAGACAGACAGACAGACAGACAGACAGACAGACAGACAGACAGACAGACAGACAGACAGATAGAGACAGACAGACAGACAGAAAGACAGAAAGACAAAAAGACAGAAAGACAGAAGGACAGAAAGACAGAAGGACAGAAAGACAGAAAGACAGAAAGACAGAAAGACAGAAAGACAGAAAGACAGAAAGACAGAAAGACAGAAAGACAGAAAGACAGAAAGACAGAAAGACAGAAAGACAGAAAGACAGAAAGACAGAAAGACAGAAAGACAGAAAGACAGAAAGACAGAAAGACAGAAAGACAGAAAGACAGAAAGACAGAAAGACAGAAATACAGAAAGACAGAAAGACAGAAAGACAGAAAGACAGAAAGACAGAAAGACAGACAGTCAGAGAGACAGACGACAGACAGAGAGACAGGCGACAGACAGACAGACAGACTGGCAGGCAGGCAGGCAGGCAGGCAGGCAAGCAGGCAGGCAGACAGACAGACAAAAACACAGACAAACAAAAACACAGACAGACAAAAACACAGACAGACAGAAACATAGACAGACAAAAACAGAAAGACAGACATAAAGACTAACGGCCAAACAAATAAACAGAAATTTGATTTTGCTTAAAGCACATATTATTTCAATATATACTTAAAGCCGAATACGTGATAGTGTCTATTTCGAAAAGTGAAATATTGACACACTAACTAGTGAGTTGTTTTAATCGTTTATTTCTGTTGTGTATTTTATATTGTGGGAGAAAATAAATTTTTTTGATTGGTTATGTTGAAACCAGGAAGTTTTTACTTCATTCAAATCTTCTACGCTGCTCAGATTTTTTCTTGTTGAGGGAAACACAAACCGCGGTTATAGCCCTTAATTAAGGTTGGTTCGCTGCATTACAAAATGTTTAGAGCATTTTTTGCAAAAAATAATAATTAAAATGATATTGCTCATTTTTATTTTACTTCAGTACGTTTTGTTTCTTGCATCAGAGACAGACAATGAATTTTCGTCAAGAATATCACACAGTTCTTTAATTAAACAGCTCGATAATATGCTTTATTCTGGAAATAACATTAAAGAACCAGCTGAATTCGAATGCCCTGAAAAATGCAGCTGCGATGGAATTAAAGAAAATATTACCCACATCATCTGTGTTTGTCTTGCCGATGCTACGAAATTCCCATCTACCGTAAAAACTTTAGTGCTAGATGGCTGTAAAAATACAACTCTAGCCTGTGATTTTTTTCATTCGTTGTACAATCTGGAAAGGTTACTTATTACGTACGTGTCTGGGATTTATTTTTGCGACGGAATTTTTCAACCTCTAAATTTATCACTAAACTACCTATTACTACAGGGCATTGAAGTTCAATATCTTAACAGAAATTGGTTTCTGGACTTGAAAAACTTACAATCTCTTGTGTTGGAATCAAATGGTCTGAAAGTTTTGACGGCAGGAGTTTTCGATGGGTTGGTTAATTTGGAGAAGTTGTACTTAGAAGAAGAAACATTTTTAAAAGTAATTGATAATGCTTTTACTGGACTGAAGCAAATGAAAAAATTAACTTATTTGATATACAAACATAAGAAAAAGCAAAGTGGTTATACTGATAAGAAGTTACATAAAGTACAAGGTTTGATTTGTTTTTCTAATTTTGTTTAGAGTAAACGTTTCTCCATAAAGGAAGACATGATTGTATAATTAGTCGCTATTCTTTTTGCACAAATTAAGATTCTCACCCTAATTGAAGTCACAATTCAGACTGTCATCTAGCCCATCGTCGAAAGATATTCTCAAATCGATGTGTATTTTAAACATGTGGCCTCCATCGTAACCTTTGTTGCCATTATAATCAAGGCGTTCACTTTGAACCCGAAGTCCTGGTTTGGGGTGACATAAATTTTTAAGGCCCTAATAATTTAGTCTAGCCTGACAATACATGAGAATTTATCCTTTATCAGGTATTTTATTTTGCTCTCTGCACCTCTGCTAATGGTACTACAATAACATTAGCATGTGCTGTTTGTAACAAGATACATTTTATGACCATACTTTTACTATTGCATCATCTATAGGATGGGTAGGTTATTAAAAGCAATAGCTAGATCTACATTCTAAGCATAAACGTCTTCATAAAACCCTGAACTCTACTTCACCTACACAATGTTGAATGGGCTTACATCCAATTTTAAAAAAAAGGCTAATATAAATAATAGAGTTTTAATCAATATACCAAAGGAAGATCTTTTTAAAAAAAAAACTATAAATATTACGTCAGATTTCTTGAAACTGTGTGACGTCACACACATTTGATTCCCTTACCCCTAGTATAGTACAGAACATCTTAATGTGAGCTAATTTTGGGTCGAACCTCAATAATAATAATGCAATTATTAAATACCACAAAACGGTCTTCTTTAAAAGGTATTGACTGTTTTTTCTTTCTTTTTGCTTGCTTCGTCATATACCTAATTTAGACTCTACTCTGGTGAACTTTATTATATTTTCTAAATTTAAAAAAAAATGCGAATCCTGGATGATGCAATAAAAATAAAACAACAGGTAAATACTTTTTTGATTATTGTAAAATTGGTTTAAATTACATAGTTCTTAGCTTGGGGTTACCACGCCCTATTTTTAAAAAAAATCAAATCCACTACTAAAGCTAGTCATTCAAAATTAGTATCGATGTGATGGAAAAAATCCTTTTTGTTCTGGTATAATTTTTTTCTGTACAGGTATTAGTGAGTTTTCAAAATTCAATGCTAACTTATTCCAATTTTATTCTTTTAGATTCAAGCAACTACACAAAAACGGCGTATACTAGCTGCTACCCAGACAAGGCTTTCTCTGTGTTAATCAACTTAGAGAAACTTGGTCTTGTCGCCACTGATTGTGTGTTAGGCCCAGGATTTCAGAAGCTAAAACGTCTTCGGCTGATAGACTTCAGAGACAACTGCTACCTAACTCACATAAAAGAGTTTTTTTTTCCGAAACATACAGTCTGATCAAAATGTCACCATTATTTTGACAGGATGTCCTATTTCCAGTTTTACAAACACGTCTTTTGTGATGGGGTCAAATTTAGCACAACTGACACTTGATGATACTGAACTTACTTTAAACAGTATTGTAGAGTCGATTCAAGCGTTTAAATACGTAAAGGGGCTTTCACTAAATAACTTACGGCCAAAAAAAGATGTCAAGGTGAATGATTTAGAACTTGTTTTGGAATCGCTCGCTGAAACTGAAATAAAAAGTGTGTCACTTTCTGGAAACAGACTTCTTGACAGATTTCGTCCATTCTATTTTCCTACAAATTTAGAAAAGTTGGTTGCTGCTAATAATTTAATTAATGTTGATTCACTTATCAGGATATTAAGGGGATTGCCAGAAAACTCGCTAAGAACATTGATATTAGCAAACAACCCTATCCAAAATAGTCTTCTGTAAGTACTGCACTGTAAAACATCATTAATTACATCTTCTTTACATTTATCCATCCATCCACCCATGTATCCATCCGTGAATCAATGCATCAATCAATCCACCCATCCATCCATCCACATACCCATCCACCCATCCATCCATCCATCCAACCATCCACCAATCTATCATTCACTCCATCCACCCACCCATCCAGCCATCCATCCATCCACCTACCCACCCTAACACCCATTTATCCATCCATCCATCCATCCATCCATCCATCCATCCATCCATCCATCCATCCATCCATCCATCCATCCATCCATCCATCCATCCATCCATCCATCCATCCATCCATCCATCCATCCATCCATCCATCCATCCATCCATCCATCCATCCATCCATCCATCCATCCATCCATCCATCCATCCATCCATCCATCCATCCATCCATCCATCCATCCATCCATCCATCCATCCATCCATCCATCCATCCATCCATCCATCCATCCATCCATCCATCCATCCATCCATCCATCCATCCATCCACCCACCCATCCATCCATCCATCCATCCATCCATCCATCCATCCATCCATCCATCCATCCATCCATCCATCCATCCATCCATCCATCCATCCATCCATCCATCCATCCATCCATCCATCCATCCATCCATCCATCCATCCATCCATCCATCCATCCATCCATCCATCCATCCATCCATCCATCCATCCATCCACCCATTTATCCATCCATCCATCAACCCATTCATCCACCCACTCACCCATCCATCCTTCGGTCCATCTGTCCACCCACCCACCCACCCTTTCTATTATACTTTCTTGCGTAAACCTACACTGGTATAATTTATGTATACACCAATTATATTGCAGTCGTTTTTCTAGGGTGTGTTATTTTCCAGGTCGTTTAAAAAAACATCACAAGACAAAGCAAATCAGGTTTCAAAGACTATTAACGGAATTGCACATTTGCAATATTTAGATTTTACAAGATATTCATCTTACATACATGACTACATATTTGACGGCATGCATAATCTGCGAGTTTTAAAATTATCATATTCTTCTAAAATGATGTGCAACGCCATTATGAGTCTCCGGAACCCTATGACCGAATTTCCCTTCCTTCAAGAACTTGAGCTGCGACAGTGTGCCTTCAAACAAATTCCAGTTCAATTCATTTTTCCCAAAAGTCTAAAAGTATGCAACTTACGCAAAAATAAGTTAACATATTTCCGGCCATCTACTACTAGACAAAGTAATTTAACTGAACTTAACTTATCCTTCAATAAGTTTACTGGTCTGTCAGATGAAATGTGCAAAGAACTGATAAGGTTAAAATCTATAAACCCAAATTTTGTCGTAAACTTTGATGGTAGTAACTTTGATTTCATATGTACAAATATTGGGATTTTAAATTTACTTGCAAGTAGCCCGCAAATTTTCACTGGCTTAATACATATAAAATTAACAACTCAATCAAATGCTGTCTTCTATTACACGGAAATGGTTGCACAACTTCCAAGACTGACACAAAACTGTCTGATAGAAGAAAACTTCAGCTTTGTGTTGACGACATTTTTCACCCATCTCCTGTGTTTGCTTGTTCTGTCCGTGTTTTTCCATTACCGCTGGAAGCTGAGGTACCTCTACTTTATTGGTCAAAGGCGGCTTCACATCGGTGGACGTTTGGTCAACTACAACCCACAAGTTGATGTCTTCGTCACGTACGACGAGGTACAATATTATAAGTAAAAAATACACATGGCGTGTGCTTAAAATTCTTTCACACGGTCAGTATCACTATCAGAGTAAAAGTACAGTTTCCCTTTCAAACCTGACGGTTTATGGGGCAAGTTAAGTAGAGTTCTCTTGTTTCTGTGACCTCGACATATGAAGAGAAAGTGTGGTCAGCACTATGCCCAGCCGCCTTTACTTTCCCTAACGTGAGTTAGGTACCCATCAGAGTTGGGTTGACTCATGGACGGTCTACTGACTTTAACCCTGATTCGAACTCCAGCCTTACGGATTAGCAGTCCAGCTCTCTACCGCTAGACTACTCTGTCACTATCAGAGTACTTTACCATTATTAAACAATAATGAAAGACTAAATATATTATCAGTTTTTAAAATTATTATATTGAAATAGCCTTTAAATAATTTATATTGATACTTTGAGATAATTTCTTCTCATTAACTTAATGCATTTTGTTTTGTCGATTAAATCTCATCCTATATTGTCCCCAGGGTGAACTAAGAATCCGACAGATTGTAAGAAATATTATCCTGCCATTCCTGAGAGAAAAGAACATCTCTTACATTTTAGGAGAAGTGGACTTTCCAGGTGGGGACATGGTGTCACACATCAGTGGAGCTATAACTGGCACAAGAAAAACGCTGGTCTTGTTGTCTGAAGATCTTTTCTTGGATCACTATCGAGAGTATGAGATGAACCTGGCCATCATGCGAGAGTTCAATGTTCGAGGTCAGGTTATCGTTCCTGTCTTTGTTGAGAGGGTCGACTTGAATACATACCCACCTGAAGTAGAAACTTATTTAAGGAATCAGCTGTACAGGTGTCTGGTCTACAGAAATAACCAAACTTTCTGGACACTTCTGCTACATGCTATTAGAAATGACAAATAGAACAAGGTATTGTTCTATACCACATTGTTCTATATATATTGTTCTATTGTTATATACCACAGTCTACGTTTTACTGGGGCCAATCTACAAGAACATTGTACTGTTTGGTCTATAGAAATAAGCAAACTTTTTGGACACTTCTGTTACACGCCATTACAATCGAGAAGTAGTTTGATGTTTATAACATACTCTGGTAGCTATACTTTGAAACATAGATTTCTTTTTTAGCTCTTTTTTCAATGTAAAGTTTTAAACTTATAAGTTAACCTTCCTAATATATAAAAGCCCATCTGCGCACCCTCTCTCTCTTTCTCTCTCTCTCTCTCTCTTTCTTTCTCTCTCTCTCTCTCTCTCTCTCTCTCTCTCTGTCCGCGAGTATTTTTTAGGCGATGTGATCAGTATGTTCAGCGATATATGGAGAACTTAAAGATACGGACTTTTTTTGAAAATAATATGGTGGGTGTTATAAATGTATAAACTAAATTTAATTAAAGAAGGGAAATAAAAATTAAGGCCTATTAGAATATAGAAACACGATTTTAATTTTGCAACGGAAAAAGCGTTTATTGTTTTAAAAAGAACGCAATAAACAATGACATAAACAATGACGTCATATGCCACTTTTTTAAAACTACGGAAAGAACACACAACTAATGACGTCTTCCAATTTTAGAATATGAAAAAGGAACCGTTTAATTGAAATTTGATTTAGATCTAAAAGATCTACTATTCAAGACGTATGAAATGTAAACAATTTATTTCTGGGCCAAAATTAATACAAATTACTTTAAAAAACAACAAAATACCATTCTTCTTCTTCGTTCTTAATTTTTAGTGTAGGGAGGGATCGAGCCTAATCTGCAAGAGGGTTTGAACTCGAGACTTTTTTTTTTAATTTATTAACCATGAGCTTTGCCGACTCGACCATGCATCCATCACATTTAAGGATTACGTGTCAACTGGTTATGCGCCATTGAGGCCATTGACTCCGATTTCAGCTTGCTGTTCTTTTTGGATTTGCTTCCATAGCCTTTGTCCAACCAAGAACAAACAAGACAGCAGTTGTTTGATTTTGGATTTGTCTTTCCTAGAAGAGTGGTTGTCCCCAACTAACGAGCCTCGTCTGCCCGAGGGTTCGAACTCGAGACTTTTCGGTTTAGCAACCATGAGCTTTACCGACTCGACCACGAACAGCTGGGTTTTTAACGGAATTGTGTATGTCTCTTCAGAAGTGTGTGCATTTAATATGGTGTTGTGTTGCCTAATAATGTATATAATTTAGTTTTTCTAATAATTATTGGTAGCCTTTGTTATTTTTAATGTGCTGGTTTTTTTAAGCTTTTAAGTTATTTATTTGATTTTAAATGTGCCGGATTTTTAACTATTTAGTTATTTCTTTACTTTGTCACTAATATCTCAAAGTGTGGTGTTGTTTTTTGACCAAAAACTATTTTATTAATTATTTTAACAAAATACGCATGACATAAAAAATATATAAGCTTATAATTCACGTGTAACGGGTACCGACGGCTAATTATTAGAGAGCGAGTTTAAGTTGAACAATGTCTACCAAATTTAATGTTACCAGTGGTACGTTTTATTCAGATTCAACAAATCAGTAGACCAAAATGATCAAGAACATTGCTTTTTATTTTTAAATGTGCTTCCAATTATATGATCATAACCCAGATACATTTTTTTTAAATTTTATATATATACTAATAGATATTGCCTTTTTTTCTATGTTTATGTTCCGTCTATTTATTTTTTATTCAAACTTTTAAAAAAATATTTGCTTTTGTTTCTTGTTTATTGTGTTACATTATTTTCCGTAAAGTTATATGGATGTTTTTTTGCACTTATTGGTTATATTTTTTATTTAGATAACTTAATTTTTCTCAGCTTTAATTATCCAAGATCTTAGATAGAGTACTTCACAAACCAAGTAATTTCGCTCAGTATGCCTCTACACTGCATTTTCTTCCATTTATTGAATAAAACATATTTTTACGTGTATACACCCACAGGGAGCATGTCATGACTCCTGACAATATTTCCGTCTATTAGAATTACCCTCAATTCTTTACTTCCAACCAACCCAAACCGAAAGAATAAAGCGATTTAAACAATTACAATCAATAAATAAATAATAAATACTGATACGTTTCATAGTTACATTAATGTAAATGTTAATGTAAGCAATAGGCACGCTATACAGTAGTGTCTGGAGGAGAGAGATAAAATATTGTTTGAAGTGTCTGAATCTACAAATAAAGAAATTTTGCTATTGAAAGCAATTTGTAAGTAGGACCTGCTTAACAGAAGTCAATGTATTGTTAGATAAACATGTAAATCTTGAAACCAATCAGTCTGAACATAAAAGATAAGAACAGAAATACGTTCAGCAAGTATGACACATCTTTTGATGCAAAATCTATGAGAGGCACGCAAGTTGACTGCTATGTGTCAAATCAATCACGTGGTCTCCATGCTAAGTAAAAAGTTTTACATCGTGATGTTTTCAATGTGACAAATCTGCATTTCCTTATTTACATCCTCACTGCCAGCGGTGGATTCATAAAGATCAGATTTTGTTAATTAGGAAAACTTGAAAATCCAAAATTTGGTCATGTTACTAAACAGGAAGTTTAAAATATTTTAAATGCTCCATCGACCTTAATTATATGGGAGTATTTGTGCAAAGTTGGATTTGGGGCCTCTACATGTAAAAAATGCTAATTAAGCTTGGAAAAAAATATTTTTAGGAAATTGATGTTTTAATAAATTTCATATTCCTAGAATCGAAAACAGTTTCAAGTACATTTTTCTATTTTAATTATAATTTTAAAGACACCACCCTATGCTTAAAAATCAACTTTTTAATCAAATTTCTGAAATTTTGAGTTGATTTTTATAAAGCAACTAAAAAGAAAAATATAGTATATTATATATCATTTTTTTCGTCTGTTAGAGCCGTAAACGATACTCTACATTCGAATACAGTTATTTTACTTGCAAATGTGATATTTCAATAGCGATTTCATTGGTCCTATTTGTATTCTCAAGCCGTACCTTAGTAATGACCTTTCTGCGCATGCGCAGTGATCGAGTTCGACGGATTTTTGTCAACAAACAAACATGGCTACGTGATTGTCTATATATATAATTCTCTTCTGGGATCAGTTAGAAAACAAGCTGCAAGCGCCTCCTTGCAGTCCCCTCTCTTTCTCTCTATCACTATCACTACCACCCCCCACCCCACCCCAACATTGTCTGGTGAGCGGTGTTCACTCTAAATTTTTACAAAGCTAAATGTTTACATATCGAAGATCCGTACAGCCGGGTTTCTATTAGGGGCAGATAATTTAGTTCGATTTTAAACTTACAGGAGGTAACTAAGAAATAACTAAGAGGAGGCTGCTTTCACGGGGGGGGGGGGGGGGGGGGTGGGGTGTAGGTGGTGAGAGAAAAATACTAAAATAAAAATAACAAATGTCAGCTTTTTATGACTTTGTTCCCTTGGATTTAAAACCACTCTTACGTTGAGACATTTTAAGAAAATCATTAATTCCTTTTTTAGAAAGTTTTTTTTTATCCGACTATCTTATGCGATACATTAAAGAATTACAAACTTTATCTAATAATAGCTTCACAATAAATAAGCTGAAAAAAATATGTCTGCAAGTTGTTGTTTTCATTATTTTACTTTTAATTGTAACTTAAGGGACGGTGTGGTCGAATGACAGAGCGTTGGGCTGCCAGCCTGAAAGTCTTGTGGTCGGATCTCTGCCCAGTGAATCTCTAGGTCTAAAGAGGAGCTTTCATTAAATACATTATGTCTTAATCAAACACATGCGGTACATGAAGATATTGATATTGATACAAACAATTAAAATTAAATGCTGTACATGTTCTATGTAGCTTGGAAATTTTTATTTATTCGTCGGAGTTTAAGATTTCCATAATCTATATATAAATAATTCTCTTCTTGGAGACGTTAGAAAACAAGCTGTAATCGCGCCTTGCCGTCCCTTCTCTTCCTCTCTAGGAAGTCTGGTGAGCTGTGGTTCACGCTAAATGTTTACAATCGTAGAGCCGGGTTTAGTGACGGCTATTAAGGGCAGATGATTTAGTTTGAAACGATTTTAAACTTAGGGGAGGTAGCAGAGAGGAGGCTGCTTTCACGGGGGGGGGGGGTATGGGTTGGGGGAAAGGAGGGGGTTATCGTCCTTAACGACTTACTGATAGTGTTTTAAAGCAAATATTTTCAGTGACAGCAGCGGTACTGTCGAATTCAACAAATTATGAATAACTGAAAAGTAGAAAATAAAACAACTAAATAGCGGCGTATACGCCGCGGGTGCGGGTCGACTTGTAGGAATTATTTCTTTAAAATATACTTATTGAGAACATAATGCCATACTGAAAATGTGTATTTAATTTAAAATAAATGAATTATATAAACAGATCTTACAATTATTTACTACACATTAACACAGAAACACAAACACTTCAAAACGCAGATTAACACAGTCTCACACATTCCACATGCGCACAGATCCTCGAAAAAACAACTTAGCGCACAAATCATCCCATCACTCATCGATCTAGACTCATAATTGATGAACCTAAAGCTATGGATGACAGGTATGACGCAGAATGCCAACAATTACTAGTAGCCATGAAAGAAGATAAAGATTTTGGGGCGTATGTAAATCATTTTGAGCAGGGGTCTCCAAACTTTTCAGTCCGAGGGCCGCATTAACTATCAAATTTCAGTTCGGGGGCCAGTTAATTACAAAAATGTCTTTGATTTTTCTGGGCAAAGTTCCTCAGCCATCACCAACAAACGTTTTTTCCGTAGACAAAAAGATCGCCGCGGGCCGGATGAGAGGACCTCGCGGGCCGGATCCGGCCCGCGGGCCGTAGTTTGGAGACCCCTGATTTTGAGAACCAAGCTTGGAGTCTGAGCATCGCCCCCAAGGTTTGGTCACTCATGC